CGGAGCGGCATACGAGGAACGCGGTGCTGTTCTACTGCCGACCTAACGACGTTCCACTTATTGTTCCAACCGTAAACATGTAAACACCTTAAACGGACTCGTCTTAATCCAGAATAACTGATGGCGGGCAACACGGCCACCATTCTTTGAAGAAAGTGGTTACGATCTCAGAGATTCGGCGGCGGTTTTTGTTGCCCGGATTGTGTAATGGTAAGCAGCGGTTCACGCTTCCCAAGCTGACGGCTCTAGCAACCTGAATGTAAGTATCTGCAGTGAAGCATATCAAAGATGCTTAGACTAGCAAAGATTATCCGGCGATTTCTTACCGTGCCGCAGGATGATGCCCACAAGTTTCAGCCACATCAACCCCCCTCTACTTGCTAGCCTCTGAACTAGAAGATACCTTCGCCACCGGACCAGAGCCCGCTTCTATGCGAGACGTCGCTACGTCGATGCGATGAAAATTGATCACCATCCAACATGAGCAATGTCATGATATGACTCATCAACGTACCCAACATCTTATGTAATCGCTAGTCCCCTTTCTTTACCTCACGGTCGTAGCGCATGCACCTGCATTAACCGGTTTCGCGAACCAAGTACATGAAAATGAAAATGAGGGCATCTTGCTCGCGATTCCTCAGCTTTGAACACCCATATGCCTGAATCACGAAGGGTGTGCGCTAATTCGGTAAATATCTGATGATCCAAATGAGGGGGGGGGGGGTGGTACATGGCTGCTCAGAAGTGGAAATGTAGCCTTGAACACATGTAAGCTTTAGCCAACAGCCTTGATGAAGATCACCAGGCTTTTGTTTGATAAGGCCAGCACGGAAACATGCTACACCACGTCGGAGTATCATCTCGCCGCGTCTCATGTCGGTGTCAACAGCCCGTGGCATCTTCTGGGCGAAACAAGGTCCAAAAAATGAGCACAAGCCGCTCTGCGTTGTTTTGTTGACTGTCTTTACCAGGGGGATTAATAATATAAAATTAAATTTGTATTCGAATTAGGGTCGGCGTTCGGCTTTGATGAAATCCAGTCCATTGGTTGATTGCATCGAACTTCTCACGAAAATGTAAGTCCTCTTCTACGGTTTCATTCGTTTGATCTTCAGTAGTCAATTAATTATAAGACATTCAAGATAAAGCCGAAAGCAAATATTAGAAAAAAAATTCGTTGCACTTGCTTACCAATGAGCTAAATCCTAAAGAACGTGTTAACAAAATATATATTAGCACCCCTTTGCATGATCAGTGCGACGGGTACCTGTGGTACGGTGTAATATTTTTTCTCTCGCAAACTTTGAGGCAATACTTGGTGAAGGTCATCAACCACGAGTTATATGTAAAACCAAAATAAGGCACAATTTGGTCAGCAGAAGTGCTAGACAAGATCAGACCTTACTTTCGTGAAGTAAAATTCAAGGGACGGATCCACATTTAAAGCTATCGGGACAGACAGCACATACCACGAAAAAACCTCGCTAGCAAAGTATGTGTGCTTGCAAAGTATGCTTTTACGTAGAGGACTGCTGTAAAAAATTACAAAGTAGAAAATGTGCTCCTCAAGTAGACAGTCTGATTACGTGACATCATGTTTCTATGGCGTCAGTGTCACGTCAGCGTTGCCGCTGTAGCGGACGGCGGACGGCCGCTACAGCGGACCGCTGTAGCGTGACTCTCGTGTAGCTCCTCTACGCGCCGCAAGGTTGGCTTGCTGGTCTGCAGATGGACATTTATGTTACGAGCGTTACGTGCGTGCGTTTTAATATTTTCTCGTAGTGTTCATGAGGACAGGCTCTTTATGATTGCCGTTGCGTTTTCGGTTGCGGCGCTGGTCCTAAAATGTCCGATTCTCAGCCTCATATCCGCCATTGCTCGTAGGTGTCCCACATACGTGTATTTACCACAAAGAACGGTTCGTGGTCGATGCATGCAATCGGCAGCTAAATTTGACTGTTAGCCGAATGCTCTTTGTGGTTGGGACACTTGTTACTGCATCACTGCAAACACTCGTATTTCAGGAGGCATTTTTTGCCTTGACCATGGCATTATACACCCAAGGCAGTGGGGGGCATTCGCGTGACGCCTCTATGACGTCACACATGTCTGAGAGACTTTCAAATTGAGAGCGCGGAATGGGCTGCACAAGATTGCGTCCATCAAGTTCAGACAGAGAAGGGTTCGAAGTCACATAAGGCATAGCTGAAAAACGCAGGGAATGATATTGAAAACATTTATATCATTTCAAAAGCCCATACACCTGTGGAACAGTCCTTGTACGGGGCGTTGCATATTTAAAGATATTGAGGCAAGCACCATACACAAATATACAAAAATAATCTCACTTGTAGCTACTGGCTTGCTTTTAAGTGTAAAAGGTTACTCTAGACAATACGATTACACTAGTTAGGAGAAATGTTCAACAATAAGTCATCATCTGAGTGTGTCATGGAACGTCTCTATGACGTCAAGTCGCTGCCAGACTGGCCGTGACAGAACTGCCACTGGCGGACGGGCCGACTCACTTGTAGTACTTCAACCTGCCGAAACGTGACAGCGTTTGCCGATGCGTGATTTCTGGGCCCAAATATCGATACGTGCTTGTGTTTTGGCCTTGTCTCGTGGTGTTTTCACATATTTGTTCGTTATTTGATATTTTTGTTTCCATTTACATACTCGGCTACATACATAGCGTTTCCTCAAAAGTTACTCGATCCTCGGTGTCATCTCCGTCATAACTCATGCCACTGCCCATATTCCTGTATAATATGACACAAAACGTGGGTCGTGTGTGAAACTTGCACTTAACCCCTTAAATTGGCTGAAGGCTAACTGATGTCCGAATGCTACGAATCATGCTAACGTGCGCCAATCACGAATGGCTTCATGATCATACGCTTCTTGACCTTGAAAGGTATGTGGTCATTGATAGAGCAGTATCCGCATAACGTTTCTATGGCGTCATGCCAGCCTCGGTGACCTTAAAATAGTATGCACGGAATAGTTCGCACAAGTTCGCGGGCAACAAGCTCAGAAACAAGTTTTAAGTTTTAAAAGGGCATGACTGTGAACCGCACTGAATGATATTCAAAGTAGCTATTTCAGTCCAAGAACCCACACAAATGTTGAACAATCTCTTTAAGAAAAAGAAGTTTGGCAAAATTATTTGATTCTTACCTAATAAAAGGTCACGAGATGACAAGATCAGGCAATCATCGTATCAAAATAAATATGGATGTTTGTTTTGTTTCCTCAGTCTCTTCCGGTTCTGGATGCATCCGGGATTTCCGCTTTTTCATGAACTTTATCTGTTGGCCCTAGAAAGGTCATGACCTCCGCACCCGACTGGACCCATGACCAGACTGGGGTCAAACTTTCAAAAAAACAACAACAATCAATGTGTCTAGACCACCACATACACCTAGTTGAAAATAAAGTTGAGGGGAGACATGAGGGCGTAACTCTCTAAGCAATTTGTCACGGAATATCCCCATTTAGTGCCCCAGATAATCACATGGGTTCAGATATGACATCACGCCAAGAACTTGCGCGTGGTGGCTAATAGCTAGTGGAAATGCCTTTGAGGTGATGTCATCGCGGTATTATTTTAATGGCGCCAAAAATTCCGATGCCTTAAATTCAGTTGTCTTTAACGTTTTGCGAGATTGGCATACATATATTTATGTACGGCAAAAATACATAATTTTTTCACAAACCTGCTAGCAGGTAAGTCGAAGAGTGGTGTATTTCAAACATAATGTGCAGTACAAGATACACGGCCCATTCTGCATAGGTACCAAACCTTACCTATGTCACACACACGGAAGCATACATCCGTTACAAGCATGCATGATTACAAGCATGCAAAACACTTATGGTAAAATGATCGCTTGCGAGGCCTCGTGACTGCATCCATAACTTAAGCGGTAATCAATGAACGCACTCATTCAGAAAAGTGCTTGCCACACACACTTACGACCGCGCCGAG